TATTTGCATTTCCAGAGCCAAAAAACATTTGCAAAACTTCTAAAGCAAATTTTATATCATCTAAATGAGTCATAGTGAGCATTTATTTTTATTTTTTTTACATATAATAGCACTTCTGGGGAACTGCCTACCTGAAGAAGTAGGAAATCCCCTAAACATACCTGGTTGGTGAATGTTACTTATAAAATTAAATGTAGCATATGAGTATCTAACAACAATTCAGATGAAAATATAAAATGACTAGAAAAATACAATTTAGTACAACTACAATAATAATTGTTGTGCCTATTACAGTTGTAATCCTTATGGCTACTTGGCAGATGTAATTTAACATTCTGAAACTTCCAGGCATAAAATTCACAAAATGGAATGACAAGCAGTCTACAACAGAGAAGAAACTTTAGGAACACAAAAATTGAAATGATTGCAGTTGAGTCATGTATTGTTGCTTCAGGCAGAGATTGTGAGGTACATTCTGTCATGTATCAAGCACTGTGAGACAAATTATACTTCTTGATTCTTAACACCAGAATGCTGTGGAGAAAAAATATCAACAAAAATGAGTAATTAATTGTCTGAGTTAATCATAATTTCAGTTCAAGCTGTTTTTCAAAGTATGTACTCAAATTTAAGACAAGGTCTTGAGAGAAAAGAACTGGCACTGCTCAGGCTAGGCAAAACCACTGAGCAGCCCTATCCAAATCTCAAGATTAGAATTAGAGACAATCCCCGGGTCAAGAACACTCCCAATTTTATCTTTAACTCAAATCTGTATGTAAGTCAGAACTTGTACTTACAAACGGACTGCCATTTTACTGCCATTACTAAAAATGGCAAATGGCATTGTCCTTCCTCAAGCTAGCAAACCACTGAATCATGAATGCTGAAAACTGCTGAAAACATGTTGTATATTAAGAATATGCAGCCGCAGCAATTTCTGAAAGCAAATTATTCATATGATATATATAAAACTTCTTTCTTACATATAACTAAACCAACTTATCTAGCTGCAGTAAAGACTATGAAGTTTCTTTGTTAACTGGTTCCTGAATGCAGTTTTATTTCTGGAAGAATCAGGATTTAACCTAAGCCTGATTTGAAATCTGGTCACATAGCACTTCTTATTCTACCAATTCTACTCCAAAGCTATTCAAAATCACTACACAAATATTTTGATGGATGACGTTGGGGGGGGGGGGGAAACAGGCATGCCTACATCCCTTGCAAACTATCAGTAGTCTGTGCAGGTGGCCAAAAAAGTCATTCAGACAGCTCTCCATTTCCTGAATGGCCACGCTGTCTGAAGTTATAAGAAGTCCTTCATTCTTTCACTGCATAGAAAGCCAAAAGGAGCTGTTGACCCATTTGCTTGCCCATTTATATTTTCAATATATATTTTGTGTATATTTGTCCCATGCATATTTTTCAAGAAAAAAAATCTGACCAGTTGTAAAACAGCTGCAAAGCCACCAAACCATATTTTATCTATGGCACTCAAGTGAGTTAAACTCATGAAAGGATACATTTTTCAATGCTTCAGAACCAAGGCTGTGGATAGGGAAAGATGCCTTCTCTTCCAAAGCCAAGAGATAAAGTGAGATACCACTGCTGTCACATCACTCCCTACATTTTTTTTACAGAGACACAGCACTATATAGGAAAACAACTTTCCTCCTAGTTTAAATAAACTGGAGTAGAACTAGTGACTATATAAATATTAAAGGACTGTATAGGTCCAGCTTCTTCTGAAGCAACACAAACTTTCACATGTTATTTTCCATAGTGAAGAAACTGCAAAGGGCTCTTCACCACATGGAACAAGATGGACTTAAGCACTTTATTCATTTATATTTCTTTATTAGATTGTTTTTATTCTGCCTTTATTACTTTATAACTAATTCAAGACAATAAGCATATATAGTACTGCTTCCTCCTCCCATTTTCCATGTGGGATGAATTGGGCGGAGAGAGGTAACTGGTTCAGTTACCCACTTTCTCTTGGTTTCTAAGCCAGAAACATCACCACTACACCAAAGTGGCTCTCACTTCACATCAAGTTCCACCCCCATCCCCCACTTCAATTCCCACATTTGTCTTCATTGGGAGATTCTTCTCTTTCACACAATACACTCTTTTTTTCTTCAAAAATTGAATATCTGGTAGCCTATGCACAAGGCCCAGGTATGTTTGATTTGTGATTTAGTATTTTGATGTCACTTACTAATTTGGTTATATAACGAAGAATAGGCTAATGGTTGTATTCAGGGCTTTTATAAAAGCTTCAACTCTGTTCTTACTTTGAAGACAGTCCAGACAGACAGTTCGCTTCTCAAAATTTGCCAGCATAATTTTACTTATTGGCTAAAATGTCTCAGGGCATTTGAAACAGGAATTTAGTATACTGCATATGGTGAGATATATTAGTTCAAATAATACTTTGTTTACTCCAGAAATGGGGTCTTCAGAGATCTATTTTTACCAGAGACATCATTATGGTTAAAAAGGAGCTTAAAATTCACATTATAGATGCATCTCTGCAGAATGATTTTGTTTTGCTTAGGGCCATAAAGTTAGTCTCTTGGTATAACTTACTTAAATATATTCTGAACCCATAGGATTATCTTGTCAGAATTAAAAAGTTCAGTTTGTGAAGAATGCTTATCCTTAAACTAATAAAACTAAACTAAATTAAGCTAAATTAATTGATGCCTGCTACATTTTTGGAAGGAAGGTTTACCAAGATCTCTGGTTATTTGTGTTCATTTATCCCTGTAGGCTAGACCTGGTAGGGATTCTTTTTCAGTATTTATTTAATTGTCATTTGTATCTGGAAAATCTACATTATAGAATTCTCCTAATTCCCTTTTTTATTGAATTAATTATACAAATTGGGATTCCATTGTTCACATTGTTAATCTCCTGTGTAGCAGAGAAGCAGGATTCATTCTGTTCCATTAACAAGTTATGCTGGTTTAATATAGTAACAGCTATGTCTCCAAACCAGCATAGTACAGATTTGGAATAAAAGATATTACAGTTCATTTATGGACAACTCTGTGTGTGTGCACGTGTGTACCAAGAAATATAATAGTTGTCCTCTAAAAAGAGGACATGGAAGGCCTAAAACGTAGACAGGATCTGCTTCATTTAACAACTAAATTACCATCCCAATTGGGGTCACTAAATGAGAATTACTTGTAGCCTCACAATTCCAATTATAATAGGGGACTTCCCAGAAATTTACATTTCCCAGAAAATATGTCAACATTGAGCAATACAGTGATTGCCAACGCTTACTGAAGCTGAGCAATTGTATGGCTAAAGGTGCTGCTAGCATTCATCATCAAGAAATGTTTCTAGAAAGGAGGGAATGCCTGTGGATGGAGTTCAATAGTGTAATGGTGACAATGCAAGGTAGAAGCCTATTGGTAGCAAAGGCAATAAATGGAGCAGCCTGTATGCTATGCTACAGAATATGGGACCCAGAAGTTTCATAAATATGCAAGGTGCTGATGCAAAGCCTGAGATAATGGCAATAGAGCACATATTTTCTTAATCTATAAATCTTTAGTGTTTGTTTCAAGTATCTCACCTAGTTCTGATGGTTTGAACATTATACCGTAACTAATTTATTTTTCTTAAGAAAAAGGCCTTCACAATTCAGGTTAATTGATTATGGAATCCATTGTAAAGGAAGAAAAAGAGCATATTGCTATGCATTTTTTTCTGTATCATGGCTACTTTGTGAGGTCCTTTGTGCTCTTTGAGATTGGTCATTTTCTTGATATATTTCATTACCCAACTAGGTAACATCCACAGTACTAGAAGGGACTGAGGTTTGCTGTGATTATAGGAAAAGTCCCATCATTCCCTGCAAGTCCAGCAGCCAAGCCCTAAACATGCACCTCCAATAGGTCCTGGCTGC